GGTGCTACCTGAGCAATTCCCAGTGGGTCAGTAACCAGATCTTTTTTGCATGCCTTGTACAGCTATATAATCTCATTTTATTAATATCTGGCAAGGAAGGTTCTTCCCTGCTTTAAACACACAGATATAAAAAGGCACAGACAGAGTGTTAAAAACAGCTTAAACAAAATGGGTTTGGTGCCACTTAATCCAACAATCATCCACTGGACTATACTGGATAAATATCTACTTCAGAAAAGAGGAAAAAAATAAAAGAATCTAGATCTAAAAATATGGGAACATGCTCTTTAAAAAGCTCAGTCCTATTTCAACATCAAGGGAATTTTTAGTGTGTTGAGTGGGGAAGAAATTTTTTGCATCCATTTTCAGTTGAAATTTGTTTTTATTTTAGTTTTTCCACTGGAGAGCTTGATCCAAGATAGGTCCTTAAGTACTGACACTGTAAGAGAAACAGAAGAACCTCTCAGCTGGGCGAYTGCCTGGTGGCTTCTTGCTGCAGAGACATCTTTCTCCCTGTGTCTCACTTTTTCTCTCTGGAAGAATGGTACTGACCACTGTATGAAGACACGACCATCAGTGGATGAGAAGGTCTGTAGGGAAGCTAGGGATTATTCTAACGCACAGTGAGTCATGAGACATGTTGTTAGGGCAGTCGTGTGGAAAACCACATGTGTTAGGGCAGTTGTGTGGAAAGCTATTTCTTGCTGACATGTAAAGATGAACAGAAATCCTCACTTGCCATTTCATGGCAGCTTAACCTGAGTAACTTGAACCAACATGAATTTCCTCAAAGACAATTTTTTTTTCTGCTTTTCTCATAGGGTTTATTCTTAGCCTTCTTTTCTCGTAGGGTTCAGGAGGGCAGAGCACGGGAAATAATTTTCTCTGGCATTTATAGAAGAACTTGAAACAGGAGAGTCTGTGCAAATTTATCTTTATATCCCCCTTCTAGCTTGTAGCTGAACCAAATGCCTTTACTATAGGATACTGAGGAAGATGACACAATTAGATGACAGGCATGACATGGACACCAGAATCCTGATTTGCTACATCCTTGCTTCAGCACTTCAGCTATGCAAACCAACATCAGKCCCCAACTCACTAATCTCCAGCATGACACACTTTTAAAATTAAACAGGTGGAATCAGATATCTGAGAAAGCCACTCTCACCCCCAAGAAAGTAAACCTTTTCATTTACTCATGCTGTGTAGACAGAGCTCCTCTAGTCTTGGGTATCTTGCTTTTCAAGTGTTTATTTAAACTGAGTGAAGAGAAGCAGCAACAATAACTCCATTTTAAAGCTTTCTCAGCTTCTGTCAATGCCTTTCAGTCCTTGARTGCATTTGTACATTTATTCCTGAGCTGGGCAATGAAGACTCTGCATTTTGCCCATCTGATTTGTGTTTTCCAAATTCACCTGTATTTCTTCTCTCCAAATAGCTTTGTTCATGGTTGATAACTGGTCATTTGTTAGCCTAATCCATCTGAATAGCAGAATATTGCTCCACTGAGGTAGAGAATCCACCTTCCGATTACATGGCAAACCACCTTTGGAGGTTATAGAACAATATACAAGTAACACTCCCACAAAATTAAGTCCCTTATCTTAGGAGCAACCTGAACCCATGAGAACTCAAACATGAGAATTTCAAAAAGCCTTTGCACTGCAAGCAATGCTTTGTGTCTGAAGTTTTCTCCTGATCTGTAACTCCTCTTACACAGAAGATGGAAGTGCATGCAGTAGGTCTACAATTACATGGTAAGAATCAACCACGTTAACAACCACCCATGTAACAACCGTACTTTCAGCCAGAACAATGAATGCAATCACGAAGCAATTAGTGCAGGCAGCAGATGGTTTGCTGCTCTTTTTTTCCTCAAGATTGGCAGGAAAAAGCTATGACTGAATAAGGGACTGGCCTGTCAGCATCAGAAATTTTAGTCTGCTGTCCAAAGCAGAGACACAGGGGAGGCATATATGAACAAAAACAACCAAGTCACTGAGGTTTAATGAGTTATTGCTCATCAGCTGAACTCCAGTAATTAAGCGCATTCACCCAACCACAACACCCAAAAAACTGGGAGGCAAAATTATTCCAGCTAACATAGATTTCTCTATCATTTAGTAGCTCTCTATTCAACCAAACGGAAAAGATCTGTAGTGCTTATCACAGCGATAGGCCCACTGGTCTGTGAAGAGATTCAGGGATGATGCTTTGTGACCCATTTCACATGTTCATTACAATGGAGCAAAGACAAGCATGTACTGACTTTAGAAACACTAGCTGAAGCCAGCTGCCTGACACGACTGGATGGCTTTGACCCCATCAGCCCTGAACTGCAYGGGCCACCTCTGGGAGTCAAACGCTCTGGTCCCAGTGTGAAATCTATCTCTCTGGCTCCCTTTGCACTCACCACCTGACTCTCCTGGTCCCATCTGCAGCAATGACAAGATGCAAATGGATGGGCAGCTATAATGCGCTTGCTAACCATCAAGCCACAGAGCTGGAAGGAATACACACACATCTTCTAGTTCCTTCCTAGCTCCCTCCGTCAACAACAGACGTAAATGATCAAGACAATCTAAACTGGTCAGAATCTAAACTTCTCCTTAAGGCTCCTAGCAATGAATTTTCCRTAGTCTCTTCAAGACAACCTTCCTACACCAGGTACATCCTTTACTCTGTTCCCCTTGGTTCCTCAAGTGATTCACGGTCAACATACACACAATATATRGAATCCAATGAATAGTGGCTTCTTATTCCTTAAATACAGGCTTAGCAAGAGATCACAATGTAGCAAATTGTAGTCATTTGTTCCAAACTGGCCATTGAAATTATCTAAATACCTTCAGGACCGCATAATTACTCTAACCAAATTCTGCCTTTGAATAAAGAAGAATTAAACCAGTGGGAGCCATTTATACTTAGCCATAGGCAGAATTGAAGCCTTAGTTTGAGTAACTTTTAATTTAGTCTAAGCTGATTAATACTCCTTGCCTCTTTATTACCCTTTACAGTTCTCAGCCAAAACTTGCTGAAATCAGATAACGTCTCCAATTATACTTTAGAGTAGAAATCAGGTCTGGTGCTTCATAACCATACAAAACACTTTTTAAGTTCTATTGTGGAGTCATTTAATCAGTATAGAAGTGATGCACAGACCTCGTGCTATCTGAATTCTTTTTTTCTGCAACTACAGTATTTTCTTACCAACATTTAATCAATTTGCTATTCCCTGGCAGAGTGTAAAGAAATTTCACCTGCACAGTCGCAAGGTAAATACCTATACCTACCCCATAAATTCAGGTTAACCCAAGAAAGAGACCTTCATTCTCATATCTGGACCACATTTTAGGCTTTATAAAAGAAAAGGGACTGGTAATTTCCTACAGAATGGATACAATGTATGCACTGTCAGTGACCTACTATAAATTAAATCAACCTTATATCTGTATAGACTCTAATTCAGAATTACCTCCTGAACAGATTACTATACAAAATAGAGAGTCCTTTTCATATATATTCTACCTGTTTGATAAATTTGCCACTGAAATTTTCACCAACCCCCACCCAATAAATCTCATGTTACCAGTACAAAATATTTTTCTTTCCAAAGAAGAAGGTGGGATTTCATGTGCGCCTTCCTCTGGAAGGGATTTTATCTGTATATTCCATAAAGCAATGCAAGGCACACTGTGAGCAAAAAATATTGTACATACAAAATACTGTATGGAATCTAGGCAGGCAAGATGCATTTCCCAAGGTTGAGTTTAACAAGGACATTATGCAACAAGCTTGGAAAGATAATGAGCTTAAAGCGCAGGACTAAACTTCTATTGCAAACATTCCCAAAGGTTCAGCTACTTATTTAGCTTTCTTATACTGTTATTTTCTCAGGCTTACTGTAATAGAATTTACAAGCCTAATTTAAGCAAAAGGAAAATTAATTCTTTCATGTTTATAAAATGCAATAAAACACACAGCTAGAGGACATCATAGAATTCAAGCTTTTATGTTGATATTTACACTATCATTTAAACCGAACAGTTCAGTCAATACTCATTTTGATTAGACTCAGATTCTCACATACTCATCATGTGAAGAACAAAATTTAAAAAAAAAGCACTAAATCTTTTTGTTCAACAGAAAATTGTTTTGGTCTGTTTTTAGCTTTATTCAAAATATCGAAATATCATTATGAGCAACCCACCATTTCTCATAGCAGTTTGTTCCAATGGTTAATCACTTCACTGCTGATTTTATCTACATCAAGTTCTAGCCATCAATTCTTGTTACAAGTTTCTTTATTAGGTCAAGTTGCTTTCTCCCACCTGGTATCTTCCCCCATAGGGAAGCACAGTAGCTTTCCTTCAATCTGCTTTTTGTTAAACTAAACAATTTGAAAAAGGTGACTGACYTGTGAGTATTGATGTGTCTGATTTTGTGTAAGTGCTGACAGTGAGTTCTCTTGCAATAAGGTCCCACTCTGGTGTCTCAAGTTGTGCAACAAAAAAATCAAGGCAAATCTCACAGTATATTTATTCAGCTGATGGATGATCCATATTGAAGGAATTGGACTTCAAAGAAAATTGATTCACTGTTACTTTTCTCTTGGAAAGTTAACAGCTACTTCAAAATATGCCAACCAAACAGCAGCAAGAAATGCTGCTATTTTTGTGGCTGGTCCCAGGGTAGAGTGACATGACTGTTAAATAAGAGGACAAAAAGCCTCACTGTGTATTGTTATTCCTATCATGAAAGACCTTATCTTTCCTCTCTGCCCAATGCCTGCCACATGATGCTAAAAAAACAGATAAATGCAGGATGCCAGGCATAGAGGACTAGGACTCATAAACACTGCAGGTGTCCATGTCCTTTATTTTGCTCCAAACATTAGCTTTACTCCCTCAAAGCCTGTCCTGAATGTTCTRCAGCAGTTAAGCAGAGAAATGGTGAGTCTCCAAATTGCTGTCACATAGGCCAAATGCTGCTCTTACCTTCTGATCTTGACTATATGCTAAKATCCAATCTTCCTGCTTCGGGTGGAAGAGCAGGCTATGGATGTAGAAGTTCAGTCGGTATTTTTGATAGGTGGCCCCTTCATCAGAACTAATCAATAAGCTGCTCTCAACCTCTGGATCAGTCAGCAGCATAATCTGTACATAAGCAAAAGACAAAATACAGTGGTCAGGAGAAGTTGGATGGAAGAATAAGGAACTTAGCATAAACCTGATGTGTTCATTTCAATAAGTTACAACACAGTGTTAAAGCTAAGCATAACCAAAATTTCTGTGAAGAAAACAGTATATTTCAATCATTTACATAAAGAATGCACAATCAAATAGACAACATTACTTTAGCTCTATGTTAGAATAGAAATAAGCCCATGCTTTGGCTAGCACAAAAGTAAAGCCTGAGACTTGCTAACACTAATATGCAAACTTGTTAAGATTACCAGACAGCTACAGCAGGGTGTTAGGTTCTTCACGAGTGAATTACTGGAGAGACAAGTTAAGCACTAAGAAGAAAAAAAATAGACAGAGGGAGGGTCAAAGGAAACAGAATGATCTCTAATGATGAGGTTTGTTAGACTGGCAGAGAAGATGACATCTTAATTTCTTGAAATGTTATAACCTGGCCGGCTGTAAGAAGCAATCTTGCTTTGGCAGTAGAACACATTTGATAACCTGCTGGGTTCTTTCCTTCTCCAATTTCTATGGCGCTGTGAATTATAGATTTAGCTGTGCACCAGCAGTAGTCTCTGCAAAGTTGCTTTCTAGCTATCTCCAAAAGTGTTGGCTCAGGAGTGACAGTAGATATACGATTYGCAGTTGTAGTAGCTACATCTTCCCATTAATTATGGTATTAATTGGCCTGCATTGCTCATGGATCAGAAAGAATAATGAGAAACTTCTCTCGTGTGTTGTTGCATGGGAGAAAATATAAAGGTTTGAGCTYCAGTCTTTCAGCAAGCAGTAAAGCAGTACCACTAAGGAAAGAGGATGGGACATCGCAAATGACAAACATGAATACTTTTGAAGAACATTTGCACAGAAAGGTATTAAAATTTTGAATCATTAGCAGTATTCTTTAAAGAACTGGTGATGCTGTCGCTTTATAAATGGCAAACACTGATTTGCTTTTACACAAGTCTGAAATGAAAGGACGCACACCCGGCATTTCTCAGTGTGAATTCCTATCTAGGCTTGGGTATTACAAATTTACACACTTTAATACTTCTTTTTCCATCTTTCATTTAGGCAGGCAGACTTAGATATAACTTAACTCATTACCTGAGAATTATATGGCACCATAAAGTTTTGATAGACTTTAATGATAAAAAACTGCTAAACTTGTGGAATATGAGTAAATGCACAAATGATCTACATAGAAAGAGTCCTTCATTATTTGATAACTGTCTGAGGTTATCTCTARAAAACTTCTTGCTAACACTAAAACGTTGTCCATTCCTTGGAAGGTTTAGGCTGTCTAGGTTTTCTGAAGAGATCTTAGACTAGTTATGTTGCCACTCTGCCTCTTATGTAAAATAGGATAATGCTCCTGTTATAACTTAAAGGTACAATCTCATTTTGCTATCACTGATCTATTTTTGAAATCTAATGAGGAAAACATGCACTATTAAGCATTGGTATTTTCATTTAACACTTCCAAATAGATTAAGCTTATCATTGATGTGACTTCTAAATGACGACTGCTAGATAGAGGATACACAGTTAGCATTAGTATTCAAAACATCAATATATAGACCCTCTGCTGTCACAAAGTGGCCTATATATCCTCTCAAACCAAAAATTTATTATGAACTTTAATAGTCAGCACTTTTTTGTTTCTTCTTCTTTTTCTTTTTTTTTCTTTTTCTTTTTTTTTTTTTAAAAAGAGTGATTTCTGGAAGAACATTCCCATGGTAAATAATATCAACTCAGTACTATAATTTAGACATATTTTTTCTATTATTATGACTTCTTTTTTGAACAGATTTTGTTTATGCTGGTATTTGAAAATATCACAGCACAGCATTAATTTGGACTACAATTAGAGCAGAAATAAATGCAAATCAATGGGCTTGATCCCAGCTCCCTGAAGCTAGTAACAATATCTTCATTGACTTTGATTTATTCCTCTAAGGAAAGCTGTTAATCAAGATTCATTCTCATTTCTCATTCTCATTTTACAAACCTCCACCTACCTGTACAAGGAACACATCCGACCTCATCTGTCACCTCGAAGCACATCATGGCCCTAGCACATTTTCTCTCAGGCCACTCCAATGTTGTGTGAAAGTGTGAAAGTCTTTTTCAAAAAAAGAGGAAGAAAAGAAAGGGAGAAACCAAAACTAATTCTTGATTCAACCAATCTGCGTTAAGTGCCCAAGAAGACCTGCCAGCAGTACTGATCTTGGTTTTAATCTGCTACCCCAGGCTATTCCTAGTGTGTTTTCAGGTAATACGTGGTCTCCAGAAGTGTCAGCTCTTGTAAGTATAGATGCAGTGTTTCTGACATACCAGGACACACCAGTTTGCTACATATGTTGACAGCAGTAGTGTCTTAGATGTGCTTGAGTTGTTTAAAACTACTTAGATTTAAGCAAGTCTGAAGCAGGGGAAGAAAAAGAATTCTTAGCTCTGTGGCCATCAGAGGTTAGTAGCTGTGAGATCAGCTTTCAGTGCTGGTGCAGCAATTTCTGCTGCATTGTGGTACCTACATTGCTAATCACTTTGTGACGGTCTCACAAAACAAGCAAGCTAGGATTGACTGAGCAGTTACTATTGACAYCACTGCCAAAGCCCCATGTTGCGTACAAGATAAGTTAAAAACATGCTTAATTACAACATATTGACACATAAACGACCAGTTACAGGGCCAAAAGACAGGAGATATAGAATAAAAATGAGGAATTAACAGCTGAATGGAAAATCAGTCAAAATGAAGGGAAAACGCTGAGTCTATGTTCGCGAACCTTTCAGTTTATTATCCAAAYTGTCTGGAATATAAATGACAAGTGTGGGAAAAATCAACTAATTTTAATATTTTCTTGTTACAATGTGTGAAGTATAYAACAATCAAATTTAAAGAAAAGAATACCTTAGAGAGCAGAACAGGAACAAACTGCTTATAGAACATCCCACTTCATTGTAGAAAGGAGGATGAACTACCTTAAATGGGAACTCCTTGAATAATGACCTATCTTTTTGCTCTCTTTCCACAAGTCCTGACAATGTATCACTGCTGCATTMGTTTAGGGACAAAAATATTCTGGAAGGAATCAATGTGGCTTTTGCAAAAGAAAATCATACCTCAAATTTAAGTTCTTAGAGAGTATCACAGAGCAAGTAGGCAAAAATGACCTGGCTGACAAAGTCTATCGGGATTTTTGAGAAGCTTCTTTGTCAGAATCTGTTAAAGACCACAGCCTGTCATGGGATAAGAAGATCTTTCCATGAAATAATCAATGGCTAGAAGATAAGAACTGAATGGCACCAAAAAAAAAAAAGCCATTAACTTCCACAATAGAGAGAAGTGTTCAGCTATAATCTATCTTGTTTTGTGCTGTACAGCACTCTCATTAATGATTTGGAAAGAAGGATGGAAGCAAAGGTGACAAAGTTTGCCAATGGCAATAAGATATTAAGAAAAAATGAAAACAAAAGCCAGCTTATGTATAGTTACAGAGGAATTCTGCAACACTGAGTATCTAAGCAGTAAAAATATAAACAAACAAACAAGTACAGTCAGAGGAAGGCAATGCCCATGCAACAGAGTGAACAGTGAGCTCGAATTAGCTATTTTCTTTTAATGAAGGGAACTGGGGGGGTTCAGTGGAAATCTCAACGAAGACACCAGCTTGGACCTGAACTCCTACCACAATGCAAATAACAGTAGGAAATATTAGGAAAGAGTTAAAGAGTAAAAAAGATAAGCTTATCAGACCCCTGATCACTGTTCCCACAGCTTAAATCCTAGAAGCGGTTTTGATCTTTCATGAAAAAGATTATCATAGGGAAAGTACAAACAAGTACAATAAGTATAATCACAGAAAGGCATTAAGAATCAGTAAACAAAGTCTTCAACTCCAAAGGAAAGAAATGAGAAGCAGTTTGACGAAAGATTCAAATCGTGAATGTTTCAGAAATGTTCGGAAAGCAATTGTTCACTTTCTGAAATAACATAAAACTCAATAAAATAAAATGAAATTATCAAGAGTAAGATGCAAAACCCAGGTGCATCATTTTCCACCCAGCTAAAACATGGAAACCCTTATTGTGGTATATAATATATGCTAAACATTTACATTAACAGCAAAAATGAACAAACACATCCTTGTAGAAAACAATCTATCAATTCTAAAATACCAAACTTGGCTCTGGAATCTGAGCCACAGACTGTTGAATTTTCAGGAAAAAAGAAAATATGGGAAAGTAGCGTACTATATTTGTCATGACCTGGCACTTCCCTCTCAACAGAGAGGAAAGTGGAAGTGGTTGAGATTCAGACGGATTTAGCATGGCTGTGCTTATACACATCATGGAAGAGTGAACGAAAGCGATAAATGATAACAGYGCTATCAGCCCTGGTGGGCTGATGTAGCAGCTTCTGGGTAAAAAAATTGGCCCATCATTTTTATCTTGACAATTTTTTTTAAAACTACCTCTGATTCCACTGTTACGAAATAAAGCCAATAAGACATAAGTAAAAAAGATGCACCCTTTCTGCCTTTCACTTCTAGCAAAAACCCTTAGTAAAAGGAGCCCCACCATAGAGTGTCTCTGTTGTTCTTTATTATTGTCTTACGTTCAACAAAATGAAAAGTTGGGATAAGTTAAGACTCTGCTTCTCTCTGGCAAAAGTAATTGCTCTCTTTCAGTTCAATGCTCAGCAATGATCAGAATCTGCTTACTTGCACCAGGCACAGCAAGCACACGCTGCACTTCCTGGTGCTTTAGATGTTTTTTTTTCTCTGTGAAAAAAAAAGTCAATAAAACCGACACAGGCTCTTGCAACCAAATGCAAGGCACCATTAATCATCCACCCCCTGAAAAGGAAGAAACTTGATTTGCTCTTCCTAGAGGTGACAAATGAACACAAAACATAATTTATAGATCTTAAACACTCCACATTTTTTCTTCCCCTTTTTCGT